CTGCTTCTTGGTTTTCCTTCTGACAGTCTGGCCCCTCTGCTGTAGGTGTGCTGAGGTTCACTCCAGGCCCTGCTTGCCTGGGGTTCACCTGCAGCAGCTGTTGAACAGCAAGGGTTGTTACCAGTTTTCTTCTTCTGCTATCTTTGTCCCAGATGGATACCCGCCTAGTGTCAATCTGATCTCTCTTTTATGAGGTGTCTTTTTGGATATATAGGGGTCAGGGAGCTGCTTGAGGAGATGGTCTTTTCTTTATAGCAGCTCAAATGGTGAGTTTTGAGCTCTGTTGTTGTTCATTCAGAGCTGCTGGGCAGGTACTTTTAGGTCTGCTGCAGCTGAACTCATAAACTGCTTTTTGTTCCCAGGTGCTCTGTCCCAGGGATTTAGGGCTTTATTTATGAGTTTCCGTTATGCTGCCGCCTTCTTTGTTTTTTTTTTTTTTTCCTTCAGACCTGCGCAGCCCATCAAGGAGGCCGCCTTGTCACTGTCGGCCTATAGCAGCTTTGCTGAGCTGCTGTGGGCTGCGCCACGCTGCCGAGTGAACTTCCCTGCAGTCCTGTTTATATGGGTGTAGTTAGAACTGCTTTGGCGATGGTGGACCGCCTCTGTTGGGGCGGAGTCTCTGCTGTGGCGGGTTGCCTTGGCAACGGCGGGCTGCCTCAGCAATGGCGGGTTGCCTTCGCAACGGTGGGCTCCCTGGTAATGGCAGACGTCCCTCCCCCACAGAGCTGCACTGTCCCGGGTTCAGCTGCGCTTGCTGTGAAACTCTCAATCCAGAGTTTCTGGTTGCTGTTCTTTTGTGGGGGTGGGGCCAGCCGAGCCTGATCGCCTGGCTCCCTGCCTCAGAGCCTTTTTTAAGTTGGTGTTCCAGTCGCCTGTTGAAGAGGCGCCAGGGTCTGTTTGTTTTACCCTGCGACCACTCACTGCGCTGCCTTAAACACCGGCACTGAGGTTTGTGGTGCTTTTTTTTTTTTTTTGCCCTGGAATCTACTGTCCTGGTTCTCTGCTCAGTCCCCTTTTTGAACCAGTGTATGGGCGACTTCCCGTGGCTCCAGTCGCCAGCCAAAAGGGCCCCTGGACCGGTTTATTTTGTACAGAGAACCGCGGCTCCAGGGCGCCGACAAAGCAGCCGCGCGGGGCAAAGCAGCGGCGCTGGCCGGCACAGCCGCGCTGGCCGAAACAGCCGCACTGGCTACCGTGGAGCACCTCTGCCCAGGAATTTCCTAGTCTGTGGGCAATAAAAACGTGGAGTCCACTCACCCTCTGCGCTTTCACTGGGAGCTGCAATCCTGAGCTGTTCCTAAATGGCCATCTTGGATTCAATCCTGTTTTAGTTCTTTGTAAATTCTGGATATCAGCCCTTTGTCAGAGATGTAAACTTCAAAAGATTTTTCCCATTCTGTTGGTTGGCAATTCACTCTAATGACTGTTTCTTTTGCAGTACAGAAGCTGTGGAGTTTGATTAGGTCCCATTTGACTATTTTGGCTTTTGTTGCCAATGCTTTTGGTGTTTTGGTCAGTAAGTACTTGCCTACACCTATGTCCTGAGTGTTTTTGCCTAGATTTTCTTCTAGGGTTTTTATGGTGTTAGGTCTTATGTTTAAGTCTTTAATCCATCTGGAGTTAATTTCAGTGTAAGGTGTCAGGAAGGGGTCCAGTTTCTGCTTTCTGCAGTTTTCCCAACACCATTTATTAAACAGGGGATCCTTTCCCCATTGCTTGTTTTTGTCTGGTTTATCAAAGATCAGATGGTTGTAGGTAAGCTGTGTTGCCTCTGAGACCTCTGTTCTGTTCCATTGGTATATATCTCTGTTTTGGTACCAGTGCCATGGTGTTTGATTACTGTAGCCTTGTAGTATTGTTTGAAGTCCGGTAGTGTGATGCCTCCTGCTTTGTTCTTTTTGCTTAGAATTAACTTGGCTATTCGGGCTCTCTTTTGGTTCCATGTGAAGTTTAAGGTGTTTTTTCCAGTTCTGTGAAGAAGGTAATTGGTAGCTTGATGAGGATAGCGTTTGAATCTCTATATTACTTTGGGCAGTATGGCCATTTTCACGATGTTGATTCTTCCTAGCCACGAACACGGAATGTTTCTCCATCTGTTTGTGTCCTCTCTTATTTCTTTGAGTAGTGGCTTGTAGTTCTCCTTGAAGAGATTCTTTATGTTCCTTGTTAGTTGTATTCCTAGGTATTTTATTCTCTTTGTAGCAATTGTGAATGGTAGTTCGTTCTTGATTTGGCTCTCTTTAAGTCTGTTATTGGTGTATAGGAATGCTTGTGATTTTTGTACATTGATTTTGTATCCTGAGACTTTGCTGAAATTGCTTATCAGTTTCAGGAAATTTTGGGCTGAGACAATGTGGTCTTCTAGATATACAATCATGTCATCTGCAAACAGAGACATTTTGACTTCCTCCTTTCCTATTTGAATACCCTTTATTTCTTTTTCTTTCCTGATTGCTCTGGCTATAACCCCAATACTATAGTGAATAGGAGTTGGGAGAGTTGGCATATTTGTTTAGTGCCAGATTTCAAAGAAATGCTTCCAGTTTTTGCCCATTCAATGTGATATTGGCTCTTGGTTTGCCATAATTAGCTTTTGTTATTTTGAGATACATTCCATTGATACCTATTTTCCTGAGAATTTTTAGCATAAAGCGCTGTTGAATTTTTCAAAGGCCTTCTCTGCAACAATTGAGATAATCATGTGTTTTTTGTCTATGGTCCTTTTTATGTGGTGATTTCCGTTTATAGACTTGTGTATGTTGAGCCAGCCTTGTAGCCCTAGGGTGAATCCTACTTGATCATCGTGGATAAGCTTTTTGATATGCTGTTGCAGTCAGTTTGCCAGTATTTTATTGAAGATTTTTCCATCTATATTCATCATGGATATTGGCATGAAGATTTCTTTTTTTGTTGAGTCTGTCACGTTTTGATATCAGGATGATGTTCATCTCATAAAATGATTTGGGAAGGATTCCCTCTTTTTGGATTCTTTGGAATAGTTTCAGAAAGAATGGTACCAGCTCCTCTTTGTATGTCTCATAGAACTTGGTTGTGAACCCATCAGGACCTGGGCTTTTTTTGCGTGGTAAGCTCTTAATTGCTGCCTCAAATTCTGTCCATGTTATTGTTCTATTCAGGGTTTTGACTTCCTGGTTTAGGTTTAGGAGGATGCAAGTGTCCAGGAATTTATCCATTTATTCCAGGTTTACTAGTTTATGTACTTAGAGATGTTTGTAATAATCTCTGATGATGGTTTGTATTTCCATTGATATCTGTGGTGATATCCCCTTCATCGTTTTTTATTGCATCAATTTGGTTATTCTCTCTTTTCTTTTTTATTAATCTGGCTAGTGGTCTACTTTGTTGATATTTTTGAAAAACCAGCTCCTGGATTTAATGATTTTTTGAAGGGTTTTTGTGTCTCTGTCTCCTTCAGTTCTTCTCTGATCTTAGTTATTTCTTGTCATGTGCTAGCTTTTGAGTATTTTTGATCTTGCTCCTCTTGCTCTTTCAATTTGGACAATAGGATGTCAATTTTGATCTTTTCTTGCTTCTCATGTGGGCATTTATGGCTATATATTTTCCTCTGGACACTGCTTTTAATGTGTCCCAGAAATTCTGGTATGTTGTGCCTTCATTCTCATTGGTTTTGAAGAACATCTTTATTTCTGTCTTCATTTCATTGTTTATCTAGTCAATATTCAATAGCCAGTTGTTCAGTTTCCATGATGGTGTGTGGTTCTGAGTTAGTTTCTCAATTCTGAGTTCTAAGTTGATTGCACTGTGGTCTCAGAGACTGTTTGTTATGATTGCCTTTCTTTTGCATTTGCTGTGGAGTGATTTACTTCCAATTATGTGGTCAATTTTAGAGTAGTTGTGATGTGGTGCTGAGAAGAATGTATATTCTGCGGATTTGGGGTGGAGAGTTCTGTAAATGTCTATTAGGTTTGCTTGCTCTATGTCTGAGTTCAAGTCTTGGATATCCTTGTTAATTTTCTGTTTCATTGATCTGCCTAATATTGACAATGGAGCGTTAAAGTCTCCCAGTATTATTATGTGGAAGGTAGGTCTCTCTGTAAGTCATTAATAACTTGCTTTATGTATCTGGGTGCTCCTGTATTGGGTGCATATATATTTAGAATCATTAGCTTTTCTTCTTGCATTGATCCTTTTACCATTATATAATGTCCTTTTTTTGTATCTTTTGATCTTTGTTTAAAGTCTAATTTATCAGAGATGGGAATTGCAACTCTTGCTTGGTTTTGCTCTTCATTTGCTAGGTAAATCTTCCTCTATCCCTTTATTTTGAGCCTTTGTGTACCCTTGGATGTGAGATGGGTTTCCTGGATACAGCACACCGATGGGTTTTGTTTTTTTATGTAACTTGCCAGCCTGTGTCTTTTGATTGGGTCATTCAGCCCATTTGCATTTAGGGATAATATTGGAATGTGTCAGTTTGATCCTGCCATTTTGATGATAGCTGGCTGTTTTTTTCGTTAGTTGATGCAGTTTATTCATTGTGTTGATGCTCTTTACAATTTGGTATGTTCTTGGAGTGGCTGGTACTGGTGGTTCCTTTCTATGTTTAGTGCCTCTTTCAGGAGCTCTTGTAAGGCAGGCCTGGTTGGGATGAAATCTATGAGTACTTGCTTGTTTGCAAAGGATTTTATTTTTCCTTCACATATGAAGCTTAGTTTGGCTGGATATTAAATTCTGGGTTGAAAGTTCTTTTCTTTAAGGATGTTGAATATTGGTCCCCACTGTCTTCTGGCTTGTAGGGTTTCTGCTGAGAGATCTGCTGTGAGTCTGGTGGGCTTCCCTTTGTGAGTAACCTGATCTTTCTCTCTGTCTACCCTTAGCATTTTCTCCTTCATTTCAACCCTGGTGAATCTGTCGATTATGTGCCTTGGTGTTGCTCTTTGTGAGGAATATCTTTGTGGTGTTCTCTGTATTTCCTGGACTTGAATATTGGCCTGCCTTGCTAGGTTGGGGAAGTTTCTCTGGATAGTATCCTGAAGAGTATTTTCCAGCTTGGATTCATTCTCTCCATCACATTCAGGTACACCTGTCATATGTAGATTGGGTCTTTTTTCATAGTCCGATATTTCTTGGAGACTTTGTTCATTCCTTTTTACCCTTTTTCTCTAATCTTGCCTACTAATTTTATTTCATTGAGTTGATCTTCGACCTCTGATATCCTTTCTTCTCCTTGGTCAATTCGGCTGTTGAAACTTGTGTATTCTTCGTCAAGTTTTTGTGTTGTGTTTTTCAGCTCCCTCAAGTCACTTATATTCCTCTCTAAGTTCTTTATTCTCATTAGTATTTTGTCAAATCTCTTTTCAATGTTCCAACTTTGCATTGGGTTAGAATGGGTTCTTTTAGCTCACAGAAGTTTCTTATTACCCACCTTCTGAAGCCTAATTGTGTCAATTCATCACACTCATTCTCCATCTAGCCTCTTTCCCTTGCTGGTGAGAAGTTGCGATCTCTTGTAGGAGGAGAGTTGTTCTGGTTTCGGGTGTTTTCATTCTTTTTTGCTGGTTTCTTCCCATCTTTGTGGACTGATCCACCTGTCAAGTTTGTAGTTGTTGACTTTCAGATTGTGTCTCTGTTTGGATATCCGGTTTGTTGATGATTAAGTTATCACTTTCTGTTTCTTAGTTTTCCTTCTAAGAGTCTGGCCCCTCTGCTGCAGGACTGCTGAGGTCCACTCCAGGCCCTACTTGCCTGAGGATCACCTGCAGTGGCTGCAGAACAGTAAGGGTTGCTGCCAGTTTCTTCTTCTGCTATCTTTGTCCCAGTCTGAGCTTTCGTTTATGAGGTGACTCTTTGGATACATGGGAGTCAGGGACCTGCTTTAAGAGACAGTCTGTCCTTTATAGCAGCTCAAGTGCTGAGCTGTGAGCTTTATTGTGCATTCAGAGCTGCTGGGCAGGTACATTTACGTCTGCTGCAGGAGAACTCATAAATACCTTCCCCCCCCCCCAGCTTCTCTGTCCCTGCGAGTTAGGGTTTTATTTATGAGTTTCCGTTGTGCTGCTCCCTTTTATTAGGGCTTCCTTGCCCAGTGAGGAGGCAGCCTAGTCACTGCCAGCCTGCAGAGGCTTTGCTGACCTGCTGTAGTGTCTGCCCAGCTGCCATGTGTACTTCCCTGCAGTCCTGTTTGTATGGGTGTAATCAGAACTGCCTCGGCAATGGCAGCCCACCTTTATAATGGAGAATCTTTCTGTAATGGCGGGCTGCCTCGGCTATGGCGAGCTGCGTCAGCAATGGCAAACTACCTCCATAATGGTGGACTGTCTTGGTAATGACAGACGCCCCTCCCCCACAGAGCTGGACTGTCCTGGGCTCAGCTGTGCTTGCTGTGAAACTCTCATTCCAGAGAGTTTCCAATTGCTGTTTTTTTTGTGGGGGTGGGACAAGCCGACCCTGATCACCTGGCTCCCTGCCTCAGATCCCTTTTTTGTTCTTTTTTTTAGTTGAACTGTCAACTCTCTCCCAGGCGTACCAGTCACCTGTTGAAAAGGGGAAGGGATCTGTGTGATTTCCCATACGGCGACCCACTGTATTTGCTGAAACAGCCGCTCTGAGATTCATGGTGCTTTTTTGCTGGGGAATCCCCTGGCCTGGCTCCCTGTTTCAGTCCCCTTTTTTATGAGTTGAATGGGTGACTCTGTCTCCCAGGAACTCCAATTGCCAGCTAAGATGGCGCCCTGACCCATGTATATATTTTTTAATGTTTCTTTTCTTTTTTCTTTCTTTCTTTTTTTTAATGGCATTTTAGGTTTTGGGGTACATGTGAAGAATATGCAAGATTGTTGCATAGGTACACACAGGGCAGTGTGATTTGCTGCCTTCCTCCCCTTCACTTATATCTGGCATTTATCCCCATGCTATCTCTCCCCACCTCCCCAACCCCGTGTCCCTCCCCCATATCCCCCAAACAGACCCCAGTGTGTAGTGTTCCTCTCCCTGTGTCCATGTGTTCTCATTGTTAAACACCTGCTTATGAGTCAGAATATGCAGTCTTTGATTTTGTGCTCTTGTGTCAGTTTGCTGAGAATGAAACCATTCCAGGTTCATCCATATCTCTACAAAGGACACAAACTCATCATTTTTTGATGCCTGCATAATATTCCTTGGTGTATATGTGCCACATTTTCCCTATCCAGTCTATCATCGATGGGCATTTGGGTTGGTTCCAGGTCTTTGCTATTGTAAATTGTGCTGCAATGAACATTCGTGTGCACGTGTCCTTATAGTAGAACGATTTATAATCCCTTGGATACATACCCAGTAATGAGATTGCTGGGTCAAATGGAATTTCTATTTCTAGGTCCTTGAGGAAACGCCACACTGTTTTCCACAATGGTTGAACTAATTTACACTCCTACCAACAGTGTAAAAGTGTTCCTTTTCTCCACATCCTATCCAGCATCTGTTGTCTCCAGATTTTTAGTGATTACCATTCTAACTGGCGTGAGATGGTATCTCAATGTAGTTTTGATTTGCATTTCTCTAATGACCGGTGATGACAAGCACTTTTTCATATGTTTGTTGGCCTCATGTATGTCTTCTTTTGTAAAGTGTTTGTTCATCTCCTTCGTCCACTTTTAAATGGACTTGTTTGTTTTTTTCTTGTAGATCTGTTTTAGTTCTTTGTAAATTCTGGGTATCAGTCCTTGGTTAGATGGGTACAATGCAAAATTTTTTCCCATTCTGTTGGTTGCTGATTTGCTCTAATGACTGTTTCTTTTGCAGTACAGAAGCTGTGGAGTTTAATTAGGTCCCATTTGTCTATTTTGCCTTTTGTTGCCAATGCTTTTGGTGGTTTGGTCAGGAAGTGCTTGTCTACGCCTATGTCCTTGATGTTTTTGCCTAGATTTTCTTCTAGGGTTTTTATGGTGTTAGGTCGTATGTTTAAGTCTTTAATCCATCTGCAGTTAATTTTAGTGTAAGGCGTCCGGAACGGGTCCAGTTTCTGCTTTCTGCATGTGGCTAGCCAGTTTTCTCAGCATCATTTATTAAACAGGGAATCCATTCCCCATTGCTTGTTTTTTTCAGGTCTGTCAAAGATCAGATGGTTGTAGATATGTTGTGTTGCCTCTGAGACCTCTGTTCTGTTCCATTGGTCTATATCTCTGTTTTGGTACCAGTACCATGCTGTTTTGATTACTGTCGCCTTGTAGTATTGTTTCAAGTCCAGTAGTGTGATACCTCCTGCTTTGTTGTTTTTCCTTAGAATTGACTTGGCCATGCGGGCTCTCTTTTGGTTCCATATGACGTTTAAGGTGTTTTCTTCCAGTTCTGTGAAGAAGGTCATTGGTAGCTTGATGGGAATAGTGTTGAATCTGTAAATTACTTTGAGCAGTATGGCCATTTTCACAATATTGATTCTTCCTAACCAGGAATATAGAATATTTCTCCATCTGTGTGTGTTCTCTTTTATTTCGTTGAGCAGTGGCTTGTAGTACTCCTTGAAGAGGTCCTTTACGTTCCTTGTGAGTTGCATTCCTAGGTATTTTATTCTCTTTGTAGCAATTGAGAATGGCAGTTCGTTTTTGATTTGGCTCTTTTTAAGTCTGTTATTGGTGTATAGGAATGCTTGTGATTTTTGCACATTGATTTTGTATCCTGAGACTTTGCTGAACTTGCTTATCAGTTTCAGGAGATTTGGGGCTGAGATGATGGGGTCTTCTAGATATACAATCATGTCGTCTGCAAATAGAGACAATTTGACTTCCTCCTTTCCTATTTGAATAGTCTTTATTTCTTTTTCTTGCCTGATTCCTCTGGCTAGAACATCTAGTACTATATTGAATAGGAGTGGTGAGAGTGGGCACCCTTGTCTAGTGCCAGGTTTCAAGGGGAATGCTTCCAGTTTTTGCCCATTCAGTATGATATTGGCTGTTGGTTTGTCATAAATAGCTTTTATTAGTTTGAGATACGTTCCATTAATACCTAGTTTAGAGGGTTTTTAGCATAAAGCATTGTGAATTTTGTCAGAGGACTTTTCTGTATCAATTGAGATAATCGTGTGATTTTTGTCTTTGGTTCTGTTTATGTGGTGAATTATGTTTACAGACTTGCGTATGTTGAACCAGCATCGCATCCCCCGGATGAAACCTACTTGATCATGGTGGATAAGCTTTTTGGTGTGCTGTTGCAATCAGCTTGCCAGTATTTTATTGAAGATTTTTGCATCTATGTTCATCATGGATATTTTCCTGAAGTTTTCTTTTCTGGTTGAGTCTCTGCCAGGTTTTGGTATCAGGATGATGTTTGTCTCATAAAATGATTTGGGAATGATTCCCTCTTTTTGGATTATTTGGAATAGTTTCAGAAGGAATGGCATCAGCTTCTCTTTGTTTGTCTGGTAGGAATCGGTTGTGAACCCATCTGGTCCTGGGCTTTTTTTGGGTGGCAGACTCTTAATAGCTGCCTCAACTTCAGACCTTGTTATTGGTCTATTCAGGGTTTCAGCTTCTTCCTGGTTTAGGCTTGGGAGGAGGCAAGTGTCCAGGAATTTATCCATTTCTTCCAGGTTTACTAGTTTATGTGCATAGAGTTGTTTGTAATAATCTCTGATGATGATTTGAATTTCTGTGGAATCTCTGGTGACATACCCTTTATCGTTTTTTATTGCATCAATTTGGTTATTCTCTCTTTTCTTTTTTATTAATCTGGGTAGTGGTCTGTCTATTTTGTTGACCTTTTCAAAAAACCAGCTCCTGGATTTATTGATTTTTTGAAGGGTTTTTTGTGTCTCTATCTTCTTCAATTCTGCTCTGATTTTAGTTATTTCTTGTCTTCTGCTGGTTTTGAGGTTTTTTGATCTTACTCCTCTAGCTCTTTCAATTTCGATGCTGGGGGGGGGGGTTTGAATTTTAGATCTCTCTTTGCTTCTCATGTAGGCACTTATGGGTATATATTTTTCTCTAGAAGCTGCTTTAAATGTGTCCCAGGTATTCTGGTGTGCTGTTTCTTCGTTCTTGTTGGTTTCGAAGAACATCTTTATTTCTGCCTTCATTTCATTGTTTATCCAGTTAACATTCAAGAGCAAGTTGTTCAGTTTCCATGAAGCTGCACGGTTCTGAGTTAGTTTCTGCATTCTGAGTTCTAACTCGATTGCACTGTGGTCTGAGAGACTGTTTGTTTTGATGTCCGTTGTTTTGCATTTGCTGAGGAGTGATTTATTTCCAATTATGTGCTCAATTTTAGAGTAGGTGTGATGTGGTGCCGAGAAGAATGTATATTCTGTGGATTTGGGATGGAGAGTTCTGTAAATGTCTACTAGGTTTGCTTGTTCCAGGTCTGAGTTCAGGTCTTGCATATCCTTGTTAATTTTTGGTCTGGTTGATCTGTCTAATATTGACAATGAGGTGTTAAAGTCTCCCACTATTATTGTGTGGGAGTCTAAGTCTCTTAGTAAGTCATTAAGAACTTGCCTTATGTATCTGGGTGCTCCTGTATTGGGTACGTATATATTTAAGATCATTAGCTCTTCTTGTTGCATTGATCCTTTTGCCATTATGTGATGTCCTTTTTTGTCTCTTTTGATCTTTGTTGCTTTAATGTCTATTTTATCAGAGATGAGAATTGCAACTCCTGCTTTTTTGCTCTCCATTTGCTTGGTAAATCTTCCTCCATCCCTTTATTTTGAGCCTTTTGTGTATCCTTGCATGTGAGATGGGTTTCCTGGATACAGCACACTGATGGGTTTTGGCTTTTTATCCAATTTGCTAGTCTTTGTCTTTCGATTGGGGTATTTAGTCCATTTACATTTAGGGATAATATTGTTATATGTGAATTTGGCACTGCCATTTTGATTCTAGCTGGCTCTTTTGTTTGTTAGTTGATGCCGATTCTTGATTGTGTTGATGCTCTTTACCATTTGGTATGTTTTTGGAGTGGCTGGTACTCGTTGTTTCTTTATATGTGTAGAGCCTCTTTCAGGAGCTCTTGTAAAGCAGGTCTGGTGGTGATGAAATCTCTGAGCACTTGCTTGTTCACGAAGGATTTTATTTTTCCTTCAGTTATGAATCTTAGTTTGGGTTGATAGGAGATTCTGGGTTGAAAGTTCTTTTCTTTAAGGATGTTGAATATTGGCCCCCACTCTCTTCTGTCTTGTAGGGTTTCTGCTGAGAGATCTGCTGTGAGTCTGATGGGCTTCCCTTTTTGGGTAACCCGAGCTTTCTTCTGGCTTCCCTTAGCATTTTCTCCTTCATTTCAACCCTGGCGAATCTCAGGATTATGTGCCTTGGGGTCGCTCTTCTTGAGGAATATCTTTGTAATGTTCTCTCTATTTCTTGGACTTGAATATTGGCCTGTCTTGGTAGGTTGGGGAAGTTTTCCTGGATAATATCCTCAAGAGTATTTTCCAGCTTGGATACATTCTCTTCGTAGCATTCAGGTACATCTATCAGACATAGATTAGGCCTTTTCACATAGTTCCACATTTCTTGGAAACTTTGTTCATTTTTTTTTACCCTTTTTTCTCTATTCTTGCCTTCTCGTTTTATTTCATTGAGTTGATCTTTGACCTCTGATATGCTTTCTTCTGCTTGGTCAATTCAGCTGATGAAACTTGTGCATGCTTCGTGGAGTTCTCGTGTTATGTTTTTCAGCTCCATCAATTCACTTATATTCCTCTCTATGTTGTCCATTCTCGTTAGCATTTCGTCAAATCTTTTTTCAAGGTTCTTAGTTTCTTTGCATTGGGTTGGAACATGTTCTTTTAGCTCACTGTGGTTTCTTATTACCCACCTTCTGAAGTCTGATTCTGTCATTTCATCACACTCCTTTTCCATCCATCCTTGTTCCCTTGCTGGTGAGGAGTTGTGATCTCTTGTAGGAGGAGAAGTGTTCTGGTTTCAGGTGTTTTCATCCTTTTTACACTGGTTTCTTCCCATATTTGTGGGTTTATCCATCTGTTTTCTTTGTAGTTACTGACTTTCAGATTGGGTCTCTGAGTGAACTTCTAGTTTGTGGATGCTGATGTTACTTCTTTTTCTTAGCTTTCCTTCTAAAAGTCTGGCCCCTCTGCTGTAGGACTGCTGGGGTCCACTCCAGGCCCTGCTTGCTGGGTGATCACCTGCAGCAGCTGCAGAACAGTAAGGGTTGCTACCAGTTTCCTCTTCTATCTTTGTCCCAGAAGGATGCCCGTCAAATGTCAGTCTGTTCTCTTTTTTATGAGGTTACTCTTTGGATATACAGGGGTCAGGGAGCTGCTTGAGGAGACAGTCTGTCCTTTATTGGAGCTCAAGTCCTGAGCTGGTAGCTCCATTGTTCATTCAGAGTTGCTGGGCAGCTACGTTTAGGTCTGTTGCAGTAGAACTCATAAACTCCCTTTTTTGTTGTTGTTGTTTTTCCCCACGTGCTGTGTCCCAGGGAGCTAGGGCTTTATTTATGAGTTTCCGTTGTTCTGCTGTCTTTTTTTTTTTTTTTCTCTTTCAGGGATGCCCTGCCCTGCAATGAGGCAGGCTAGCCACTGTCTGCCTGCAGAGGCTTTGTTGAACTGCTGTGGGTTCTGCCCAGCTGCTGTGTGATCTTCCCTGTAGTCCTGTTTATATGAGTGTAGTTAGAAATGCCTTGGTAATGGTGGCCTGCCTCTGTTATGGCAGACTCTCTCAGTAGTGGCAGGTTTCCTCAGCAATGATGGGTTGCCTCAGCGATGGTCAGACTGCCTCTGTAGTGGTGGAGTGTCTCAGTAATGGTGGACGCCACTCCCCCACAGAGCCGGACCATACCAGGTTCAGCTTGCTTGCTGTGAAACTCTCAACCCAGAGCGTTAGCAATTATTGTTTTTTTTTTTGTGGGGTAGGGGGTGGGACCCGCTGAACCTGATCACCTGGCTCCCTACTCAGAGTCTTTTATTTTTGTTGTTGTTGAATGGTCGACTCCCTCCCAGTTGAAAAGGTACCGGGATCTCCCATGCTGTGACTCACTGAGCTGGCTGAAACAGTGGCGCTGAGATTCCTGGTGGTTTTTTTGCCTAGGAATCTCCTGGCCTGGCTTGCTGTTTCAGATGAATGGGCGGCTTTGCCGTCTCAGGGCTCTAATCACCAGCAAAGAGGGCACCCCGACCGGTATCTTTTGTATGGAGAACCACTGTGTCAGGGCGCGGCAAAGCAGCCGCATGGGCCGAAACAGCCACACTGGCTGAAACAGGCTCCTGGGCTGAAACAGCTGTGCCAGCTGAAACAGCCCCACTGGTGACCCAAGGGGCTCCTCCGCCTGGGAATCTCCTGGTCTGTGGGCAATAAAAATCCATCTGGGAATGCAATGTCCACTCACCCTCTGCACTTTCACTGGGAGCTGTAATCCTGAGCTGTTTCTAGTCAGCCATCTTCCCCTGATCCTGACCCATGTATTTTGTATGGAGAACCACTGCGCTGGGGCACCAGCAAAACAGCCTCGCCAGCAAAAACAGCTGAGCTGGCCAAACAGCCGTGCTGGCCAAAAAGCCACTCTGGTAACCCTTGGGACTCCTCCACCTGGGAATCTCCTGGTCTGTGGGCAATAAAAATCCGTCTGGAAATGTGGCATCCACTCACCCTCTGCACTTTAGCTCGGAGCTGCAATCCTGAGCTGCTCCTAATTGGCCATCTTGAATCCCCAGAAATCCTTCTGGACTTTCTATTCATGCTTGTATCTATGTAGAGAATGCTCCTGTGCCTTCAAACTGTGTAGTGGACTCTGTTTAAATTTTCATTTTAAGTCTTATATGTTTTCCTGAAGATTTTGACTGTTTTCATTGAAATGCACAATTTTATTCACCATTTCCAGTGTTCTTTCTTTACTTCTCTTCCCACATTTTATTGCAAATTTTTATTTACATTTATGTTTTCCCATTGGAAGAATGTGGAGGAAAAGTGACTTTATTCCTAATATCCTAGATTCCTACCACTTACTACTAGGTTGGGCTTATTTTAAGATGCTTAACAAATACTTGTTCCATTAATACATTACAATTTATTTAACTGAGTACCTGTTAGAGGAGAAGTTTTAATTCAAATGTTGCTGTTACAGATATTGGTGGATTCTACTCTTGTTTGTTTAGCTCTGTTTTTCAAGTTTCTGTTTTGCTACATGGTTGAATTCAAATGCATAAAATATATATAATAAAGCAAAATCTATTATTTGAGTCATAGCATGTGAAATATTGGAAATATAATGTGATAAAATATTAATGTTATCTATTTGATAAAATCTTATCTCTTCTGTTTACCATTTAGTGTTTTGGCTTATGTCTACACAAATGCCTTAGACTAAAATTAGTCAACATTTGTTGGCTTTTCAGATCATTTAGACAAAATATTATTTTAAACCACAATGAAATTTTATATGACACTCCAAATGTATACTTTATTTAATTTACTTTGAGTTCTCCTGATTAATCTCTTTGCAAACTGTATTAAGATGCCTTTTTCAATTACTCTCTGTCTCTGAAAGTTTTGCTTCTGTTAATTCCTTATAGTGGAAAATAATAAAGGTTATTAAATGCAGCTATTTTCCAGAGCAACAATATCTATGACCAAGATCGAAAGGTAATTCAACTTCTATATATAAATAGTTATTAAAAAGATGCTCAAAGCTTTGATTCACATCTTCTGCTTTGGGAACATGGAGCTCCAGGACCCCAAAACTGTGTTGATTACAGAATAGAGAGAGTCAAAGATGCCTTCTATTTCCAACAGAAACAGAGGCCAAGGAAAATAGTATCTATACTTTTATATTGCAAGCCTATGTCATTTCACATACTCATTCTTATGTGTGATGATTGGACACTGTAAACACTTTGAAAAGTGCACTGACTTTGTGGTTCAAAGAACACATGTTGAAACTAAAGTAAGTCTCAATTGCCTTATTTTTCAAAGTATGTAACATTATTGCTCTATTACAATAAAACCAGGGTTGTTGATGGTTGAGAAAAGGGCAATAAAAATAAAACCTAAAGGTCATGCTAAGGCCAGAAATAATGAATCAAAATGAAGGTATATGATCCTGGCATTCATATAAAATAAAATCAACCATGAAAATTCACAACAAGACCAAGGCTATGAACACAATATAACAGAGAAAAGCTGACCTTAAATGAATCCCAGAGGAAACCATGCAGAATCTCTCTCTGGATGAAAGATGAATTCTAAAATACTTGTATTTGTTAAAATTATTTGAAATGAGAAATGGCAAGCACGCTTTCGCATATATTTAGTCACTTCAGGGTGCCAACACATTGTTAGTATTCAGCGCTGACACCAGTGGGCACAATTGTACAGTTATTTTCCTTTTCTTGTGAGGTGAATGCAGTATTGTTTCCACACACATACATTTCTCTATAGGCTTAATGAATGTATTTGTCTGTTGGCAGGTGCATGTAAATATTGTTAGATTGAATATGTGATTGTTTCTTTTTTAGAAATGTAAATTGAATGTTTTGAAAGCATTTTAGGTTCACCTTCTGAGTATGCTAGGCAATGAACATTGTGTGATTCATTCCTTTTGCAAGGATAATGCAAAATAAAAGCCATTTCTCATCAGCATACAGCTTTATATCTCAAGTTCTAGATTCAGTATTTGAGAGTATGCTTCTTTTTTACACAGCTTGGAAGAACAATGCATATTTAGTAAAGACATGTCACATAAATATACTTTTGAGCACCAAGGAATACATTTTCATAGTCATCAAATATTTATTGAACACTTACTACTCGTGAACAAAGTATATAAAAGCAGTGAACAAAGTATATAAAACTCTTTACTCTCACGGTGATTACATTCTAATGGAGGTTAAAGAGAGAAAGTAAATCAAAGAAGGAATTGATATAAAATATTAGATATTAAGTGGTATGAAGAAAAATAAAGCAAGTAAAGGGAAAGTGTGTTGCCCAAGGTGAGATGTATACATTTACTAACTTGACCATATTTATTAATGAAATAATATAATATCTGACATTTTCTAGAAAATAATATATAGTTCAGTGTAGAGAAATAGAAGGGGCCATGGATGAAACTCGACCATGAGTTGATATTTCCTTTACCTACATATTGTATGCATGGGGATTCATAACTCTGCTCTCTCTGCTTTTGAAAATGTTTGTGAGTTTTCCTATTTAGTTGATAAAAACAGGATTCACAAACACTTTCCCCAGGAAGATAACATTAAAGAGCCCAATAGAAAGAAGTGAAAGATTCAGGTGCAGGAATAGCAGTTACAAGCTGTTGAAATCATTGCCTGCCTGGAAGGTTCTAGAAATAGTAAAAAAGTAAGTGTTGCTAGAGTGGAATGAGAGAAATTGAGAATATTAGGACATGATATAAAGGAGCCAGACTGTGTAGGTCATTGCAAGAATTTCACCATGAATAAGATGGGAAATCACTGGAGAGGTTCAGCAGAAAATAGATAATCCAATTTGAATTTTAGAAGCATCACTATGGCTGTGCTGCTTAGATAACACTAGAGATAAGCATGGAATTTCTGAGACTAGTCAGTTGGTGATTTCAAAATGCAGAAGATGGTGGCTTGAAT